ACTCATCTACTACCTCGCCGTCTTGCTGGACTAAGAAGGCCTGGATATCACCGAGCTGGGCGTGTGCTGAACGCGGAGGTGCCATACGTTCGGTACTCGATCAGTTGGATCGCGAAGAAGTTCGACTACACCAACCGCGTTGTCAAACGCTTCTGCTTACGGTCTACGAGGGTACGTAGACACACTCTCCCCCTTGTTGCTATGCATCTCCATGGATAGATCTTGCGTGTGCGTAGATTTTTTTCCATGCAATGTTTCCCAACACTTCCAATTTGGTGCCATTAAACAATACAGAGAATGATTCAGAGCTTACCATCCTCATAATCAGGCTAACCCATGATGGTGCAAACCCCATCTTTAACATAATGGCCTCGAGATATTCCCACTCAACTCGGTCATATGCTTTCATCATGTCAAGTTCTAGCGCACAAAATCTGTTTTTCTTCGCTTTATTCTGCTTCATAAAATGAAGGCACTCGTAAGCTGTAATGATGTTATCAGTAATCAACCGGCCAGGGACAAAGGCTGATTGCTCCTCAGAAATAATATCAGGAAATATTTGTTTCAATCTCTTGGATAGAACTTTGGAAGCAATCTTGTAGAGCACATTGCACAAGCTTATTGGCCGAAACTGAGTGAGCTGTGTGGGATCTTTTACCTTTGGAATCAGGACTAAGATTGTCTCATTGATCACCTCCGGGCTCTCCTCGGTCCTCACCACGAAGAATCCGCAATACTGCATTAGTCACCTCTTGGCCACAAATGTACCAATGGCGCTGAAAGAAGTGTGCGGGGTACTCATCTGGGCCTGGTGCTTTCATCGGAAACATTTGGAATAGTGCAGTTTTTACCTCTTCTCCTGAAAATGCCGCTATTAACATATCATTCATTGCGGGCATTACCTTATTCGGGACCAAATCTAGTACCTCGGCCATACCAGACGTCCCATCAAAAGTGAACAAGTTTTGGTAAAAAGAATTCACCATAGCTGCCATCTCGGTAGGATCTTGCGTAACCGAGTCATCTTCCCTCGTCAAATTTTTGATCTTATTCTTCTGCCGATGCATGATGGCCCTGCGCTGGAAGAACTTGGTATTTTTATCACCTTCCAACAACCAGTCGACTCGCGAGCGTTGCCGCTGTAATATTTCTTCCATATGGTATAACTAAACCAACCTATCCATAATTTTTGACTCTGCACGTGATGGGTTAGAATGTTGGGGATCATTCTGCAAAGTGCTAAGCTATTTTTTTTGTTTCTTTATTTCCCTTCCAACATTGCCAATGTTTGCTCCACTCCATTGGACTAGCGAAGCCAACAAACTGCTCAATTTTCTGCTCATGGTCTGTGCTCATGGTAGATGATGATTATTTATGAAATATATAATGAACATTTTTATTACACATTGAAACATTTTGTGAAATACATGATGAATATTTTTAAAATACATGACAAACACTTTAAGTATGCGATCAACATTAAGTTTGAATTACACAATGAATAGGTTTATGAAATCATGATGATTTTTTTAATTTGCCATGAACATTTTGTAAATACATGACTTGCAGTTTTAATACATGACGGGTATATTTTTAATGCATAATGGATAATTTTTGGAAATACATGGTGACCATTTTTTAATGCACCCCCTCCTCCCAATAACATATAGTCACCCACACCCGCGAAC